TGCAAAAACATAACAACTGAATATTATTCATTTTATTTTTCTCATATCTTTTAAATTTCAAGCATTTATTTATATATGATGATTGTTTCTCAACAATCAAGCATTTTATCGATCACACGACTACCGTAAACAACGGATTTGGTACATGCATTAAGAGGTAATTTTCTTGATTACTTTTGCTTAGAAGTGATGGTTGTAAATTTCTTCATTTTGAGACGTGCAATGTAACTTTCTCTTTCTTCTTATGAATGTGTACTTAGTCATGCATAGGTTCTTGCGCTGCAAGAAGAAAAAGGTTTAGAACTCGATAGTTGAAGAGAAATCCTAATGAAAGATGAGAAATTAGGGTACACTTCGTATCAATTATTCTCTTATGCTTAACATCAAAGTGATTTTATGTAAATGATATTCAAGCTTAACTGTTTTAATATTCATGGTTTCAGTTGTTGTCTTTTATGTATTCTTTTTAAGATACTAATGAGGCATAACTATGATTTGTTGTGGATTTATGTGGAAATCCGAAGGAGAAGGTCTGCAAGGTTTTCTATCCGGTTAGTTCAGAATGTCAAGCAAATGTCCCCAGGACCAGATTCAAATCAAGGGTTTGTCTTTTTTTTTTTTTCACCTTCCATGTTCTTGATTCAGTTACTTGTTTCCAGGTCTGGATATAGTTTTATATTGGTGATTGAAATATTGGGATTTGATCAGGCTGGCAAAACTCTAAGTGCTAGGAGATGGCATGCTGCGTTTACTAACGATGGATGTTTGGATATGGAAAGAGTTCGTCGACGTATACTGCGAGGGGTAAGTCTACATTGTTATCTTATATGTTTTTTGGTCTATGGCCTTGTTGTTTACTTGTATGCTTTTTCAGGGAATTCATCCATTGATCAAAGCAGAGGTTTGGGAGTTTTTGTTAGGAGGCTACATCCAGACAACACGTTTGAAGAAAGGAACAAACTGAGGAATCACAAGAGGTACTATTGTCTTCTGTGCTGTGATTCTGCCTCGTCTTACCACGAGTAAAACTTACTAATTGCTCAGTAGTTTGGTACATCCTTTTGAGTAATGTTTTCATAGCTTACTTTGATGCACTTATTTTATCTAAGGTATCAGTATTGTGCTTGGAAAGAGGAATGTCGGAAAATGGTTCCTCTCGTTGGTTGCGGAAACTTTGTCACAATGGCAGTTGTTGCGGAAGATGGGCACCATTAGAAGAATCTTCAGTAGAAAATCAAGGATGGCTTGTGAAAACCGCTATAACAGACAAGTGTGTGCTCCAGTGGATGCAAATATTTACTCATACATAAATTTATGTTTTTTAGCATTCTGTTTAAGTATAAGAAATATGTAAGTGCTCTTCAAGAACTGCTTATAATATGGTGAACTTTCTGTTGCAGGCCTTGATGTTGTTAGAACGGATCGGTATCTCTGCTTTTTATGAGAATGAGAGTAATCAAGCAAGACTATGGGATATTCTTTCCATATATACATGGTTGTATCTTGATATGGGCTATGTTCAGGGTAAGTCCACCTTGGCAATAATGGTGAATCTTCGATGCGGGAGAACATAGAAAGGAGAAGGGAATTAACTATCCACATTGTGTAGGAATGAACGATATATGTTCCCAGATGATAATCCTACTCGAAGATCCGCTTTAAACGTGCAATGCGAAGACTAGTAAGAAACTAAAACTTCCGGCTTGTTTTATCTCATCCCTGGGTTTTGTTGATTTCATGGTCTTATAGTTTTTTTTGAATTTCAAAGAGAAATTTTCAGGACCAACCCCGACATCAATGGGTGTCCAGAGACTCAACGGTGTATGCTCTCACAAGTCATTAAAACCGCCGACTCCATCAACATCTAGTTCATGCTATGTTGTGGTTTCTACTGTTTATTGTAGATATTGCTATTGCTTTTAGCATTGCATGACTCATTTGGCTATGGACCATATATACAAGGACATGATGGTTGTGATCGTCCTGACAGCGCTTTCGGTAAGCTGTTTTACATAACAATATGCTCTTCTAGAAAAGCTAAGAGATTTTTTACCAAGTGATAGGTTCAAGACTGGGCTAGTGTATTGTTTCTCTCTGGAACTCTGTCTCTAAGCGTGATGAATTTGGCGATGTAAGTCATGTTGAATG